AAACAAGGGAGAAAAAATCTCACGTCAAAGAAGGTGGAGTTCGAACTTCGTTTTGGCCTGATTTTGTTCGAAATTACATCATATCAATTCGTTCTTGGATTTCGTTTGAAGTATATCGGGGCCTTGAGACTCCCTCTGCAGGCATACTTTGTTCAGCTGCAAGACTCTCCATCTCTGCTGCAACTTTGTCCTTCATCTAGTCTACTCTCTCTGCTTGTATGTATGTAGTTTTAAACCGAGTGTTGAGAAGGGATGCCATGTCAAGCAGCTCCTGGCTGGATTGGTCTGCATATTTCTCATTCAGATAGTCAAGAATTCTCACCTTGATGTCCTTGCTGAGCTGGGCATCGTCATCCTGTGGCTTAAGAACCTGCTCATTGAAAAGATAAAGCAGAGGTTTCAAGTATGAAACACTCACATACTGTTCCCCAGACAAAGCATCTGTGAACTCCACAAGAGGGCTTAATGCTTTGTTCACAGACTCAAGAACATCCATGTCCTGCCATGTAAGAGCTAAATGTTTTTTGTCAGCTTGCAGGACTTGTGTTAGAGCATTCTCCTGCTCTATGACCCTTGCGATCATTTGTTGCCTGGAGGCCCATCTTGTTGGACTTTCAGTGATGAGTTTATGAGCAAGCAAGCCTAGCTGTGCCTGGGCGATGGACAGTTCACGCCGTCTCTTCCACTTATTTGAGAAGGCACTCACAACTCTTTTGCAGACCCCAAATGCACGATCAACCTGGGGCACCTTCACACCTCTCTCTGTTTAGAATAATTGGACAAGGGGTATGTATAAACATGCTGTAGTATTAGCTGAACATCAGACTTTTCGCAGACTTGACACTCTCCTCACAGTCCCCATGACTGAAGCGCTTCCTTTAAACTTTGCGCTATCATCTCTCCTTTGTGATCTTCAGGAAAGTAGGATGTCTGCAGACATCTATTGCAGTGTCCAGTCTTTAAAAAAATATTTACATGTATTTATTTATATTCATATAATTTAAATCATATATATAAATATTTAATATATAAACTTAAAATATTTTTCTTAAATATACTTGAATGTGTGTGTTTACATAAGCATAATAAATAAACACAGTATACACATATTATGTAAACAAAAACTTTTGTTTTGGATGCAATTAATCGCTTGACGGCACTAGTTTTGATCAAGTTTCGAAACCCCTTCTTTTCCATGGTGTAAACTGGTGCCATGTCTTTGCAGATATACACCGTAATGGCCTGCGTTACTACTTTCCATCTCTTTGAGCTTTTCTCATATGACATGCCTTTTGTAAAAGATTCGGCCAAACTGGTTTGAATCTGAGGTGATTGTGTTTTTTTTGCTTTTAGCACCGGAGGTCGATGGATGGCTTGTTGTGGAGCGCATCTTTTGGCTTTCACCATGTTCTTGTGCATGTTTAATTTTGAGGTGGTGAAACTAATTGCTTGTGCTACTGCTACTAGTGAGTACATTAGCATGACACAGTTTGCAAATCATGTTTCTCTGCTCTTTTCAGATTTTGCAAACCCAAACCATGTCCACACTACAGACGTTGTTACTTTTTTTGGGGGGGGGATATTATGTTTTTATTTCAACATTGACAACATAGAACAGTACGAAAAGACAACAAGAAAAAAAAAGAAAGAAAAAAATTATCGTTAAGTACATCAGTTCCTCCAGTTCTATACACATTTTTTATGATGTTATACATCTATTTCTAAGCCAGTGGGAATGAGCAATATGAAAATAATACAGACAGTAAAAGGGTCAAACCTTTAAGCTATTACCTTGGACATTTGTTAAATGTTTAAGAAAGGGTTCCCAGGTGGCCTCAAAGCCAGCAATGTTACCAGAAAGGTTGTGTCTGAGTCTCTCTAAATGCAGAGTGGCAGAAAGTTCAGACAATCAAGATTTAAAAAGTGGTTTTGATACCTTTTTCCATTGACAAAGGATGATTTTTTTTTAGCTACTACCATTCCATATTGGACAGCTTTTTTAATTTGATGGCCTAAGCCATGAAGGGAGTTAGACCAGCCAAAGACCGCAATTGCTGGCTCAGGGGAGAGGTCACAGGAATAAGCCACTGAGTAGAATCTGAACATTTCACTCCAAAACTCACAAAGTTTCGGGCACAACCAAAAAAGATGTCCCAGAGAGCCCTCTGCAGATCTGCATGTGTTAAGAGATGGAAGGGTAAAATTTATTAAGCCTAACCCTTGAGTTATGAAGCCAATGTATTACTTTATATTGAATTAGTTGGTGCCTTAGTTAATAGAACATATATTTATGGCCTTGATATACTCAAGCCAGTCCTCGTCGGCTATCTGAATGCCTAAATCCTTTTCCCAGGAATCTTTCCGATATAAGGTAGATATGCTGAGCTGACTGGTAAAGACACCCATAAAACGGGAAATCAAATTAAGGGCATTAGAGGAGGCAGAAAGCAATGTATATACTTCATTTTCATCTGTAAGCAGTTAAAAGTGTGAGATTGACGTGCAAACATAATTTCTCAGCTGAAGGTATCTAAAAAAATGCGTTGATGGAAGATCACATTTCTCTTTAAGCTGACAAAATGTGGCAAATTTACCATCCACGTAAAAGTCTCTCACGGTGACCATTCCTTTGCTTGACAAAACTGAAAATATGGAGTCTGTGAGTGATGGCTTAAAGGCATGATTGTGAGCGATAGGGGTGGACAGTGTGGTAGATGGCAATGCAAATGCTTTCCGTACCTGATACCATATTTTGAGAGCGCTACCAAGCACAATGTTTGTGTTGGCCACTTTTTTGAGTGGTACAGGCGCCGCAAAGAAGAGAGAGAGTAGTTTGTAACACTCTGTTCAATGGCGAGCCAAGATGGAATGTCATCTGCAGGCCCCAGAAGATGAGATTTTTTCCAGTATGATAAGGCTCTGCAGTTTGCAGCCCAATAATAATGCTGGAAGTTTGGCAAGCCTGATCCTCCCATCAACCTTGGTTTACAAACATGTAACTTAGAAATACGGTGTGCTCTGAAGCCCCACACAAATGGCAGGGCAATCGAATCCAAGGTTTAAAAAAAAAAAATTGGGCACGAAAATTGGCAGGTTTTGAAAAAGGTGAAGAAATCTGGGCAATGTCACCATCTTGATTGCGTTCGCGCGCCCTACCATAGACAGTGGGAAGGTCCTCCAGCTTTCAATATTACGTTTCAAATTCTCTAGCATAGTGAAGTAATTTAATTTATATATATCCTTTGCATTTTTTGGTAAAGTGACCCCCAAATATTTCAAACTGTCTGCTGCAATTTTAAAATGTAGGTTTTGTATGAAGCCAGGGTCAATTTAATTAGTAACAGGCATGAATTCACTCTTTTGCCAATTTACAGAGTATCCAGAGAACTTTCCAAAAGTCTCCAGTAAGTCTAATAGGGGTGGGATAGACCGTTCTGGGTCAACAAGGTAAAGAATAATGTTGTCGGCATAAAGAGATATATGGTGTTCTAAGTGGCCTATCTTAGGAAATGAAATAACTGGGTTATTTCTTATAGCAACCACAAGGGGCTCTATAACAATGGCAAAAAGCAAGGGTGAAAGCGGACACCCCTGCCTAGTGCTTCTATGTAATGTGAATTGTGATGATTTATCGAAATTAGTAAGCACTGAGGCCCTGGGTTTGGCATAAAGCATTTTCACCCATAGAGAGAATGATTCACCTTGATCAAATTCTTGGAGCACCGAAGTCATATAATTCCATTCAATTTGGTCGAATGACTTTTCGGCATCGACAGATAAGATGGTGACATTTAAATGAGAATCATACTTTGAATATAAAATGTTCATTAAGCGTCTCACATTAAAGAAGGAAAAGCGCCCTGGGATGAAACCGGTCTGATCGGAGTGAATAATTTTAGTTATACATTTATTTAGTCTATTCGCAAGGATTTTCATAAAAAATTTAAGATCTGAATTCAGAAGAGCTATGGGGCGGTATGATGCTGGATCCATTTCATCTTTCCCTTTTTTAAGAATGAAAGGAATGTTGGCATCATACATTGTGGAAATTTCCTAATTTTCAATAGAATGGTTAAATAATCTCAACATTAGGGGAGCGAGTTTGAGAGTATTTCTTATAAAATTCAATTCCGAAACGTCACGTCCGGGGGCCTTTCTGCTAGGGAACGATGTGATGTTATTAATCTTTGTTGATGTTAGTTCACAGTGCATTAACTAATGTTTACAAATACAACTTTTGATTTTAATAATGTATTAGTAAATGTTCAAATTAACATGATCAAAGATTAATAAATGCTTTAGAAGTATAGTTCATTATTAGTTCAAGTTCATATTCAAGTTTATTTGTAGAGCTTTTCACGATACAAATCATTGTAAAGCAACTTTACAGCAAATTAAGTTTCTACAATATTTAGTGGTAGCTTATCAGTGGTGACTGTCAGTTAATGTACATATGGCAGAAATCAATTAAAGACGCGTTCATGGTAACTAATGTAGATAGTACATTGGCCAATGGCCAAAACACTGTAACCTCATCCAGTCGATGCTCCTCCCGCAATCCCCATGACTGAAGTACTTCCTTTAATATATGAGTGGATATACTATCTAGCTTACATGTTGGTAAATGTTTTGATGTCTGTTTCTTTGTGCTATTTAACTGGGCTAACTTACATTTGTCTTTTTTCACCATAGACCTCATGCCGCTGAAAGAGGAGTGCATAGTACCAAATGAAACGGAAGAGAAAGAACAATACGAGACTCATCATGATTTTAAAACCGGAGAAGAATCTTTCAGTTGGCCACAGATTAAAGAGACTTTCTCACAGAAAACAGCCCATGAAACCGGAACTACAAGTTATTTCACCCCTTTTCACTGTGAAAAGGGTTTCAATGAACATGGAAACCTTAAAGTCCACATGAGAATTCACACTGGAGGTAAGACATTCCCCTGCCAACAGTGTGGAAAAAGTTTCAATAGAAAAGGAGTCCTTAACAGGCACATGAGAGTTCACACTGGAGACAAGCCTCACACCTGCCCTCAATGTGGAAAGAGTTTCGATCAACATGGAAACCTTAAAGTGCACATGAGAGTTCACACTGGAGAGAAGCCTTACACCTGTCTTCAGTGTGGAAAGAGTTTTACTCAAAAAGTAAACCTTAAAGTCCACATGAGAATTCACCCAGGAGAGAGTTGTTTTATCTGCCAAAAGTGTGGAATAAGCTTCATTAATAAAGGATTTCTTAATAGACACATGAGAATTCACACTGAAGAAAAGTGTTACGTGTGCCATCAGTGTGGAAAAGGTTTCAACCAAAAAGGAGACCTTAACTGGCACATGAGAGTTCACACTGGAGACAAGCCTTACACCTGCCCTGAGTGTGGAAAGAGTTTCGCTCAATATGGATACCTTAAAGTGCACATGAGAATTCACACTGGAGAGAAGCCTTACACCTGCAAACAGTGTGGAGTCAGTTTCACTCATGAAGGAAGCCTTTACAGGCACATGAAAATTCACACTGGAAGGAAGTCTTTCACCTGCCAACAATGTGGAAAAATATTTAATAGAAAAGCAAACCTTAATTACCACATGAGAATTCACACTGGAGAGAAACCATACTCCTGTCTTCAGTGTGGAAAGAGTTTTACTCAAAAAGTAACCCTTAAAGTCCACATGAGAATTCACACTAGAGAGAGTCCTTTTATCTGCCAGCAGTGTGGAAGAAGCTTCATTCATAAAGGATTCCTTAACAGGCACATGAGAATTCACACTGGAGAAAAGTGTTACGTGTGCCATCAGTGTGGAAAAAGTTTCAACCGAAAAGAAAATCTTAACAGGCACATGAGAATTCACACAAGAGAAAAACTTTATACATGCCCTCAGTGTGGAAAGAGTTTCGATCTACATGGAAGGTTTGAAGCCCACATGAGAGTTCACACTGGAGAGAAGCCTTACACCTGCCAACAGTGTGGAAAAAGTTTTACTCAAAAATCACACCGTAACTGTCACATGAGAAAGTTACACGGCATATTTTCAACACAATCTTGATCAACACTTGAGGATTCTTTTGAGAGAACTGTTGTCATCAGTGTGGAAGGAGTTTCTCAGACAGTAATCATGTAATAACGTTATGATGTGTAGGAAGCTCAGAAGTGAAGACCAGGAGACTCTGGTGTATATTCAGCAGGATTCTATATTGAGAAGGTGCTGTGTGGCACAGTTGGGGTACTCAATCTTGGACTCAATTATTAACAACGGATTAAACATGGACTCAGACATTTTGGACTCAGGAATTTTACATGTATGGTCGAGTCCACATCATGTGTAACATTAAAGGGATATTTGACCCAAAAATTACTCACCCTCATGTTATTCCAAACCCCTAAGACCTTTGTTCATCTTAAGAAAACAAATTAAGATGTTTTTTATCAAATTCGAGAGCTTTCTGATCCTCCATAGACAGCAACAGAACAGAAATGTTCCCAGGCCCAGAAACGAAGTGAGGATGTTGGTAAAACAGTCCATGTGACATCAGTGGTTCAACCGTGATTTTACAAAGCTACGAGACTACTTTTAGTGTGCCAAGAAGACAAAAATAACGACTTTATTCAACACTTCTTCTCCTCCATACTCACCCCCGAGGCATCCTAGGTGTATATGACTTTCTTCTTTCAGACGAATCCAGTAGGAGTTATATTAAAAATTGTCTGATCTTTCAAGCTGTTTCATGGCACTCAGTGGGTGTCGCATGCTTCAGTCCAAAAGAAGTTAAATAAAAAGCGCCCATCCATACAAAAAAAAAGTGTCTCACACGGCTCCGGGGGATGAACAAAGGCCTCCTGTAGCGAATCGATGCGTTTTTGTAAGAAAAATATCCATATTCAAAACATAATAATCACTTTAATGTAGCTCGCGCCAGTACACGGAAGCAGCTCCGGGCGGATGACGCACGAGTTCAGAGACTCGGTGAGTCTCGTGAAAACCAACGTTTGTTAACAGGAGCAAAGGAAGCAAAGTTTCCTTACTTTAGCAAAGGAAAACCAGTCTCCTCTTGGCTTATATCGAAATCCTCGACATTCTTCTTTACAAATCCTCGTTTTGTACTTCTAATAAGTGACCGGTGTTTTGTTTTGATCTCTCCCCTGCGCTTCCACGTGTGTCACTTCTGAGTGGCGCATGCGCAACGCTGACCTCATACATCATCCGCCCGGAGCTGCTTCCGTGTAGGACTGTTGCCGCAAGCTAGATTAAAGTGATTATTACGTTTTGAATATGGATATTTTTCATTCAAAAACACATCGATTCGCTACAGGAGGCCTTTGTTCACCCCCCGGAGACGAGAGAAACACTTATTTAAATAGATGGTCGCTTTTTATTTAACTTCTTTTGGACTGATGCATGCAACAACCCGCTAAGTGGCATTAAACAGCTTGAAAGATCAAAGACCATTTTTAATATAACTCCGACTGGATTCGTCTGAAAGAAGAAAGTCATATACACCTAGGATGACTTGAGGGTGAGTAATTTGTGGGCGAATTTATTTTTGGGTGAACTAAGCCTTTAATTTTATGTATGTCTGGACTATGTTTGTATTTTCTGTACTGGAAGCTCCTAACACCAAGACAAATTCCTTGTGTATGTGTAAACACACTTGGCAATAACGCTCTTTCTGATTCTGAAATTATATCTATTTTCCCAAAAAAGCAGTTTATTCCATTTATGTTTCAACCCCAGTGTATTGAAAGAATCTACACATCAACATTATTAAAAATCATCACTGATTTCTGTAGTAACGGCTCCAAAATTACTGAATGTAATATCAGACTAACTGAAAAAGTTTTACAAATGAAGATATAAATTGTGTTTTTGTGAAGAATCATCTGACTGATGTACGTTACATGAAAGAAAACTGTACTGTGCAGTGGCGGCTCGGCAGGGGAGGCACAGACTCCCCAAAATTTTGAGGGGAAAATGGGAGGAGGATGATTTAATGTTAATAAAATTCACGATTAATTTCAGTTCATGTCTCAGAATGTGTATTTTTATATTAGCTACCTGGGGCAGTCGTGGCCTAATGGTTAGAGAGTCGGACTTGGTCATGGGTTCGAGTCTCGGTTGTAGGTGGGGGGAGTGAATGTACAGTGCTCTCTTCCACCTTCAATCAGTGGTGGCTCGTCGGGGGAGGCAGGGGAGGCACAGCTTCCCCATAATTTTGAGGGGAAAATGGGAGGAGGATGATTTAATGTTAATAAAATTCACGATTAATTTCAGTTCATGTCTCAGAATGTGTATATTTTTTTTTTGTTTGTAATTTCACAGCTGTAATACCATAACATGTTACTGAAGTTGGAAAGCACCGCTTTTCTATCGCAAATGTGCCGAATCTGCTGATGAAATTACAACCGCTAAGTGACAGAGAAGGGGAGGGGGAGGCCGGGGGAGAGCTGAGCTCTTGTGCCTCCGTTGGTAAAAAAAATTGGCCAATCAGCATCGAGTGTTCACTTTCAGCGCCGAGTAGTGTTGAGAAAAGAAACCTCGCAAGGGAGGCTAGCCTCCCTTCTGATATATCAACCAATCATCATAGAGGCGTAAATTACGTGATATTAGTTTGAACGTCTCCCACTGCGTACTTATGAGTAGCGATCGCCAACAGATTTACCAAGCTGTCATTCAAACAGTATGTAACAAATTAAAAATAAATGGAGAACACGCCTGGATATAGGCTACAACAGTCGGCTTAATTAAATGGCACAACAGGCAGCTCTCTTTTAACACAGACTTTTAAGAAGGGATGGATGTTTGCTTCAAGTGATAGGCCAGGTAAGTGAAATTATATTATCTTGCTGTATGCGTGTCGTCGTCTTTACGTTTTCTGACTAAAAGCAACCAAAACGCCATTTGAAAGTGGTTAAGCAAATAATAATAATGTTGATGATGATAATAATCTGCAGGGATCCCCAGACCAATACAATTAGTGTGCCTCCTCTTTTTTAAAACCCATATGCCGCCACTGGTACTGTGCATAGTCTTCTATAGAAAGTGTTTTAGGTATACATTACAAATGACCAGAGTTGGGTATAACGCATTGCACAGTATCTTGCTGTATTCTGCATTAACTGTATTCTAATTACTTTTCCTGGTAACGCAGTAATGCGCTACATTATAATTTGATTACAGTTACTAATGTCAATAAAATTGTTACTTATGTTAAATGCATTGTTAAAAAATATTAAGTAAAAATCATGTTTTGTGCGTCAGTATGCCCTTTAATAAATCTAATAAATGCAGATGAGTCCTACAACATTTAGATGCAATGAAAGGTTGCCTATCATATTTCAAAATGTTGCACGACATATTTTGTTTCACTATTAAAGGGATAGTCCACCCAAAAATGAAAATTCTGTCATTAATTACTCACCCTCACGTTGTTCCAAACCCGTAAGACCTTCGTTCATCTTCAGAATACACATTAAGATATTTTTGATGAGTTCTGACAGCTCTCTGACCCTCCCATAGACAGCAAGGATCCTTACACGATCAAGGCTCAGAAACGAAGCAAGAGTAAATTCTTTTACCGTATTATTTTACCGTAGCATCGGTAAAATAATCCACGTAACATCAAGGGTTCAACTGTAATTTTACGAAGCTACGAGAATACTTTTTGTGCGCAAAGAAAAAAAAACGACTTTATTCCACAATTCGTCTCCTCCGCGTCACCCTAGCGCCATTTTGGAGAGTATCACATACGTAAATGTGATACTCAACGCAACGTGTGCTGTTCTGTGTCAGCTGCGCCATGCGGATATGCTGTTTTTCGTTCAGATCAAAGCACAAACAATGTAGAAAACGTATCCGCGTGGCGCAGCTGCACAGAACAGCATATGCTGTTTACGTTCAGTGGATACTCTCCAAAATGGCGCCAGGCTGACGCAGAGGAGACGAATTGTTGAATAAAGTTTTTTTTTTTTCTTTGAGCACAAAACGTATTCTCGTAGCTTCGTAAAATTATGGTAGAACCCCTGATGTCACATGGATTATTTTACTGATCTCCTTGCCACGTTTCTTGACATTGATCGTGTAAATTACATTGCTGTCTATGGGAGGGTCAGAGAGCTCTCAGATTCCATCAAAAATATCTTAATTTGTGTTCCGAAGATGAACGAAGGTCTTACGGGTTTGGATCAACATGAGGGTGAGTAATTAATGACAGAATCTTCATTTTTGGGCGAACTAACCCTTTATGTGGGCCATGGACAATTACTACATTAAAATACCCAAACCTTACATTAAGACTGATTATATTAGTGTTTGTGTTAGGCTGTGTCAGAATTTGATGCTGTTCCACTGAAACACCTCTGTTTTACATTAGAAATAAAGTCTGTCATATCAAACCTTTTCTCTGATTTCATGCTGGACTTAAAGGCACAATATGTACGATTTTTTTTAAATGAAAATATCCAAAAACCACTAGAACAGTGTTATATATTTTGCTGACTTGTGTACTTACATTATCCA